GTGCTGATGGTACAAGGTCCATACTCTCAACCATAGCTCCCTGTATTGTGCTGCATAGTTGAATTATACTTCCTATTTTCATCACTTTATGTTCATATGTTTTTGGCTACGATTGTATGCTACAGGCTCTTTTCATGTGGGACAAGCCAAGGGGGGGAATCTTCTATTGTTGAGTGGAATGAAAGTGAAGGAGCTGTGAAAAGGACTTACCAAGGATTTCGTAAGAGATCTTTGGGTGTTGTGCAGTTTGATACCACCAAAAATCGATTTTTGGCTGCTGGTGATGATTTCTCCATCAAATTCTGGGATATGGACAATGTTCAGCTTTTGACAACTGTTGATGCTGATGGGGGTCTCCCAGTAAGTTCATTGTTTTATTGCAAATTAGAGAGATTACTCTAGAAATAGTAGTTGCTAATTATTGCCTGATCTGAACTCTAGGCAAGCCCACGGATTCGTTTCAACAAGGATGGAACTCTTTTAGCTGTCTCTGCAAATGAGAATGGAATTAAAATTTTAGCCAACACAGATGGTATTCGATCGTTGCGTACATTCGACAATTCTTTATATGATGCATCAAGAGCATCAGAAGCCTTGGCAAAGGTAGACTTATAGATGTTATACTTTCCTTGTCTCTTATTAATAAAACCTTATCTAACACAATGTTTGTGGCAGCCTACTATAAATCCAATTGCTGCTGCTGCCACTAGTGCTGCACTTGCAGAGAGGGCCTCATCTGTAGTAGCTATTGCTGGAATGGTACGTGATCTTGTCCTCATATCAGTGGGACTTATACTTTATTCACATGTTACTTGTAGTTTTTTTTTGAATTTTTTTTTAATGTCGCTCAGTATGCACCTCTTACTTGTTACATAATGTATTTTCTTCTGTCCCTTACTGAGAAAGAGGAGTGAGCATCTGATCATGATTATTATTACTTAATTAACTATATATCAATTTCATCTCATCAGAATGGGGATGCCGGAAACTTGGGTGATGTTAAACCAAGAATAAGTGAAGAATCCAATGACAAGTCAAAGATATGGAAGGTAACAGAAATCAATGAACCATCTCATTGTAGATCCTTGAAGCTTCCGGAGAATGTTGGAGTAACCAAGGTATGTTATTTACTTCAAATTTATCAGAGAGAAATTTTAGTAGTAAAATATGATTGCAACTTTGCCTTTCTCAACAAACTGGGTTTTAATTTGCCAATAAAGAAGAGCTTGGCATGCATGTCTGCGCGTATGCACAAGAGCGCGTATTCACCTTGTGCATATGCTGGCTTTTGATGTTTGTAACTGCATGGACTAGGTGCTCCTCTATCTGTAATAGTCTTGGCGGTTTACGGTAGTTTTATATCAAAGCCATGTAGTCCACAGTGGTGACTTTCACTATTATTACCAAGGAAAAGACTCCTCTAAAGTGAGAAAGGTGTATTCACCCTTATTTAGTTCAAAATTCATGATCTTAATCACGAGATTATTTAAGAGTGGATACCCATTTACTTACTCTCTTAGAGGAGCCTTTTCCAATTATCTGGTAAGACAAGTATTTTACAGACTTAACTTTATGCAACTGTTTGGAGAATTGGAGATTTTCCTACTTCTATTTACTGTATTTTGGCAGGAAAAATTGGCCTGTCCTATGTAAAATCTCTTATTAGCATAACTCATGATTCCAGTTTGTATTCCACTTAGATAACACATGGTTTGTGTGTCTTTGTGCATAAACGTAGGAGCTGAAGTTGATAAGTATTCAATTAGCATGCTTTTTTATATAATTCTTTTTGTCTTATTGTAATTTATTAGTCACTTACGCCAACGTTATTTTACATTGTCTCATGGAAGTGTTTAAGCATAAAATAGTGAAAAATTTATGAATCTTCAATCATTTTACATAAAATTATTTTAACTCCTAATATGGCTCAAAAATAAAATAAAATAAAATAGTAAAGTAGACAAATAATTAGACAATTGTGACCTTCCTTCTTTCAAGGTTTCTCTGCCTCACCCCTCTCCAAGAATGAAATTGTTCTGATCTTTCTAATGACAGATATCAAGGTTGATATATACAAATTCAGGCAATGCTATTCTGGCACTAGCATCAAATGCCATTCACCTGCTCTGGAAATGGCAGCGAAATGACCGTAACTCATCTGGCAAGGTGTGAGAACATATGTAGTTACTTCTGCCAGACTACTTTCTATATTCAGAATTTGGAAATAGGAATTATACTGTTTCTTGATGTTTATATTTCATTCTGTAGGCCACTGCCGCCATGCAACCTCAGTTGTGGCAACCATCAAGTGGCATTCTGATGACTAATGACATTGCTGATAGCAATCCTGAGGATGCCGTACCGTGCTTTGCTCTGTCCAAAAATGATTCATATGTAATGTCTGCATCAGGAGGGAAGATATCCCTGTTCAATATGATGACTTTTAAGGTAACCTATGTTCCTAGTCATTATTCAATATTATATGTTCTGCAATTTTGCCAATTAACCATTTTCAATCTTCTTGGCTAAGTGCAGACAATGACAACTTTCATGCCTCCGCCACCTGCAGCAACCTTTCTTGCTTTCCATCCTCAGGATAACAATATTATTGCTATAGGGATGGATGATTCCTCCATTCAGATATATAATGTCCGTGTTGATGAGGTAACAGTGCTATGCTGTCTGTAAACAGTTTCTACTCATTTGTGATTTTTGAGATTTTGGTGTTAATGCGGAGTTCTTTTGCAGGTTAAAAGTAAACTTAAAGGCCATACTAAAAGAATAACTGGTCTTGCTTTCTCTCATGTATTGAATGTACTAGTTTCATCTGGGGCAGATGCTCAGGTAATAATTTCCCAGTGTAGTTCTCTCTTCAAAATATGGCTTTTCTATACGATGAAAGAGTTACCTTTGAGCTCTGTTTATATCTGCAGATTTGTGTGTGGAATACTGATGGATGGGAAAAGCAGAAGACTAGATCCTTGCAGCTTCCTCCTGGGAGGACTCCATCAGCACAGTCAGATACCCGCGTACAGTTTCATCAGGATCAGATACAGTTCTTGGTTGTACATGAAACTCAGCTTGCCATTTACGAAGCAACAAAACTTGAAGGTCTAAAGCAGGTTAGCCTATTTAGTTCACATGCGTTGTGTAAATAATGTTGTTTCATTTTTTATTGTCTGATATCAATAGCTTGAATTGTAGTGGGTCCAACGAGATTCTGCCGCACCAATATCGCATGCAACTTTCTCATGTGATAGCCAGCTGATATATGCCAGCTTTTTAGATGCAACAGTTTGTGTATTTAGTGCTTCAAACCTCAGATTACGTTGTCGTATCAGTCCTTCTGCTTATCTTCCTGCATCTGTCAGGTAACCCCTTTGATTAGTTTTGTTTCTAAAATGGGAAGAAAATAGTGTCTCTTTTTTCTTTTCTTTTTCTTAAGCTATCTTGGATTATTCTAAATTTAGAATTTGCTTGTTTTATGTTTATAAATAATCTTTCATGTACTTTTTGTCAAATAATAACATAACATTGTTTGAATGCAGCAGTTCCAACGCACATCCACTTGTAGTGGCGGCACATCCACAAGAACCAAATCAGTTTGCTGTAGGACTGTCAGATGGTGGAGTTCATGTCTTTGAACCCCTTGAGTCTGAAGGGAAGTGGGGTGTTCCTCCTCCCATTGAGAATGGGTCAGCAAGCAATGTAGCAGCTACTACTTCAGTTGGACCTTCTTCAGATCAAGCCCAAAGATGATTATTGTCAGCTGAAGACAAGTTTCTTTTACATACTTGGCTTGCTGGCTATTGCAAAGAACTAAATTTGTACTTTAGTTTAATGTAGGCCACTCGAGAAATCAGTTGATGAGAGCACGTTCACATCATGTCAGGAGCAACTCATTTGCTTGAAACCAAAACTACATTGTAATTTGCCAATAGATGTGAAAAATTCTTTTTTTAAGTTCAATGCTACGGATGTGGAAGTTCGTTTGAGTACTTTCATGCTTCTTCTGGCTGTTTAATTAGATTGGTTGATTCTAACTTGTTGCTTTTTTTTTGAGTTACATCTAGTCGCAACACGTATCTTACTATGCTAATCTTGTCTTTATCTTCCTCCTCGTTCCCATATTAATGTAGTATAAATCTTAAATGGTTCTGTTTGAACCTCGTGACATGTTTTGCCCAAGGTTCACGTGCAAAGCTGTAGATTTTTTACCGTTTGGTTCAGGATTTATAGTGCAAGTTACTAGTTTCAAAAACAAAGTTTCCTGTGCATGAAGAAAAACTTGAGAAAATACCTATTGTGGATTCTTTAAAATGATGTTCAGTGTGAACTTGTTACGGCTAAAATTTTAAAATATTTGTTTCAAAACGTTTTATGATATACTTTTATAAAGAATTTATTCAAGTCTTATTTCTTTAATTTAAGAAAAAAAAACACTAGAACATTTTTTTAAGTACATGCATCAGAGCTTTTTATACTTTATTCAATTATCTTAAAATTTTAGTCACTTTTTTAATTAAAGACTCTTTTTTTTTTTTTTAAAAAAACGTACAAACCTAAGATACTGAATAAGGACCAAAAAACAAATGTTCGTTTTTTTTTGTTATATAGTGAAAAATTCAACAAACTTGATGTTTTTACGTCATGTTTTAAACATTGCTGCAGCGTCGGCAATAAATATAAAACTTTTATTTTACCTGGTTGGAAATATTTGCTCAGTATGTATAAGTTCACAGATTACTGCGAAAGTTTTAGCTTATTATTAACGAAGTAAAAATTGAGATTATGTTTTTTGTTTTACGGTTTAAATAACTCAGTTAATTTTATTTCTTTAATGTTTCAACAATAAGAGTTATTTAAACAATTATAAAAGAAATCATTTTTCTTTTTAACATCACAATTTACTTGGGCACAAAACACTTGATTTTATACAAGATTAGAAGTTGCTTCCTCTATTTCCAAACATAAAAATAAAATAAAATTTATTAGTCTATTAACATCTGCTCAATAAAGAGTTATTCGCCAATTTTTTACCTTTAAATTTTGAAGGCGAAGCAAACACACCGTAGCATCAATCTTTTACATCATATACACTAACAAAATAAAAGAAAGCTTCGCACCACAAGGAGGCAATTTACACCTTCCATAAAGTCATTAGCCTATATACAGTTTGAGGTTGTCTTTCCATGCTTCTCGAACATATGTCAGTACGACTTATATATATACAGATTAAAATACCGCCCTAACTATTCTGGCCGAAAGCTTACCAGATTCGGGAGGTATGTTGATTGAAGTCTCTTAATGTCATTTGCTGTCACCTTGCAGGACTCCAATGTCAGAGATCTCAAGTTCTTGAGTGTTTTCAAATGCTGCAATCCAGAATTGGTGATACGAGAATTGGAAACATTCAAAGAAATCAACCCAGTAAGCCCTGTAATTGTGTGCATAAACATGAGAGCAGAGACATAGCTAATTACAACCACCTAAGTTTCACAACTCTACCATTAAATGCAAACCGTTGTTTTTCATCATGAAAATACCATTAAAAAGTCAGAAAATTTATTGCAACTACGATTCACAGGACCTTTATTTCTAGAGCTTACTTTCAGTTATGGTCCTGTGCTTGGAAATTGCGAAATAAAGTACCATGCATTATGTAAAAGAAAACAACAAACATTTAGATAACTCCACTTTTCATGAAAAATCAGACATGTTTGCCATCCAGTAGTGCAGGCACAACATTGATTGTAAAAGAATTGGATGCATGTTACCCAAAAAAAGAAAAAAGAACTGAATGCAACATTTTTTTGGTGAATGAATGGGACAAGAAGCCTACAAAAAATACAGAAGAACTACACTTCATCAGCTCGGGTCAAAGGGACCCGGAAAGCATCAGTAGAAAGCAGATAGCTTACTGGGATTTTGTGACAATAATAGACTTCAGGATCAGGTTATACCAAACACTTGACTACAGCATTGCAAACTTTGTGTTATACCATTGCCCTTGCATATCACAATGAAAGTGTGCGTGTTTGATTTCTTGACAAAAGATTCATATAGAAAGAAATATAGTAAGAAATAAAGACAATAATTGAACCATTTGAGTTAATTTTAGATATTTTTTGCTCACTTAAAACTGGGTAATTGGCAACCTAACTTCATTGCAACTTTCTGAAGAACCAAAATATTTACACCCCAACTGCAGGAATTCAAACGAATCATCATACATTCTCCAACTAGAAGCAAGTCAAATACGAAACTTATTGATGCATATAAAACTTTCAATGCAGACACCCTTTGAAAAGAAAAATATCTCTTCAAATTTAATCTAGAATGCAAGCCATACGACTTCCTTTTTATCTTTTTCATGTGGTTATTTAGGTTTTCAACTTGGTCAAGAGGAAAACAAAGAAAACAAAATGAGACCGTGAGTTTCTCAAACAAAACAAAGGTCTGCAAAAATACCAGAAATTAACTCCAGGGTTTTGTCCGTAAGGTTGCAGTTTTGTGATAAATTTAAGCACATCAGAGAAGAAAGCTCTTTGATATTTTTCACACCAGCATCAGTCAATCCTCCACCGCATATTTCCAATGACCTCAGGTTCTTAAATTCTGTTTCACAATAGACACAGCAAAACAGTGAAATCAAATTATAACTGAAATGGGCTGAATCAAAGAACTAACATTAACATGTAGTTAACAGAATACAGCTGACCACAAGGGGAATTTAAGATTAATTTGGAGCTTATTTGACAAAAGAGGTTCGTCAAATTTACTGTAAATATCAACCAGTAGGTGCATAATCTTTTTACGCTAGAGACTAACATATCTCGACTGGGACAGAGGGGGTTAAAGACGACAACTACATATAATAATTGTCAAATTGAGATTTAGTGATCAGAACAAACTTATGAGCCCAAAACAATATATTTTCAAATAAAATTAAGCTCATGCAATTTAACTGTAACAGTTATAACCAGATAGACTTCTGTTTCTTGTATAAAGGCAAGAAACAAAAACAGAAGGCCAAAAGATATAAGAAAACCGCATTGTTGGAAAATTTAGACTATGTATCCACAAATAACTATTTTCAGCTTCTGGCCATGTGAAATTGAAATCTCTGGGGCTTTGCCTGAATATCTAATGACAGGTGGAATGGAATGGAATTGAGATAAAATGGAATAAAATTACCATACCATTGTTTTACGAAACAATATTCCCACAGGTATGTTTCATGATGGAAAGGAGGAAAGTTTCCACTCCATTATTTGGGAAGTGAACGAAATGGTAAAAGCATTTGTAAACAATTAGTTAGTTCCATCCCATACCCCCACAAATTGGGGGAAGGGAAAGAAAAATAGAGGTATTGGATGGAATAGACTCCATCGTGTTCCATTTCATTCCACCATATTTTAAACAATCCAAACAATGATAATTAATACCAATCCAATCCAATAGTTTTCAAATATTAGAAACATTGTATACTAATATTAGAAACATTGTATACTTTTCAAATAGTTTGTCCCAAAATCCGTGATTCGTGCACCAAACAAATCCAGGTCAGTGAGGCCAGTCAAACCTGCATCAGAAAATTCAGAATGATGTATTCAGCAAAATTAAGCTTTTCAGCTAAGGAAACCAAATTCATGTTTTGGAAAAGTAAATAAGATATGGCAAACTCAAGGAAAGACTAGCTGGAATTAAACGTAACATATTTCCAAAAAAAAAGTAACAAATCAATCAAATTGAACAGGATTAGAGATCATGTACAAAACAAAAATAAACAAAACATTCTTTGAATTGTAATTTTTTTTTGTAGGAAACCATACTTGTAAGGGTTGCCAGTCCAGCATCAGTAATTTGGTAGGCATCCAAATTAAGTGATTTCAGAGATGAGAGTCCACACAATTTCCTTAAACCGTTATCACTAACCATGGTGAATGACAGATTTATTTTCTCCAGACTAGACAATCCTACAAGAAATAGAATAAAAAAAATAATCAAAGAAAAACTAGAGTCCATGGCGAAGGTAGTCAGAGAGTTCTATATCACAATATCTCATGCAAATAATACTCTTTATGTAGTATGAGTCACCTAACTTTGACAGTTCAAAGAGGTTACCTTATGATAACATCAGCAGTTTGCCCGAACATTCAAATGTAATAAGGGATAAAGGTATATACAAAAAAAGAGGGGGGGGAGAGGTTTAATAAAGCTAACTTCAACAAAAAGGAATGCAACCCAAAATACACAATCATAGAGATAGGGAAGCAGTCCTAAATGCCCAAATCAGATGAGGTACAATAGAAACAATGATCAGAAATAATTTTAGTACATGAAAGTATCTCTCAAAATGGCCGAGATAACCAAACCCAAATAACATTGAAAGTCCAAGCAGAAGTTACTCTTAAAAGCACACAAACTACGAAAGTAATAAGGAACTGGCATATCAAACCAGACAAATGGTGTAGCCCACTGCTTCCAACTTCCGTATCGGACAATTCCAAGCATTTCAATTGCTTATGGCCTAAAAGCATTGAGAAGAAAACACTTTCACTCAAGGCAGAAATGTGCATTTCCAATGACAAATCACATGCAATACAATCATTCTTCAATTATGCATGCGCTAGATTACTTTTTTTTTCTTTTCCTTTTCCTTTTTGCAAAACTTATTGGCAACAATTTCGCCAAGGAAGTCATCACTAAGAGACAAGGAGAAAAGAGGAAATTCAAGCATCTACCTGCCAGGTTGACCAATCCCTCATCACCAACCCTACATGAATCAAGGTTCAAGCTCTCCAACTTTGTCAATCCTGCTTGAAAATATTCATCCGATTGTTAGATACACTCATCCTCATTCAGATATAATATCTTTATTCTGCCCAAGCAAAACGACTTTACATTTTTCTGTTATATCTATTAACAATGCAGGAGTATTCAGCATACAGAAGTTAATCGTGTGTGTACAAAATAAGCTATGTCAAGAACAATAACTGCAAGCAATATTATTATCTTGAAACTCCACGAGATGGTAAGAATATTTTTTGAACTAGAGATTGGTGTATGTCTATATCAGTACTACAAAGGTAGGTTTGTAACAAAGAGTCATTACATTAGAGTAATGCTACAAGTCCCAAAAGTTGTAGCAAAATTATTACCCCAAATGATGACATTTCCAAGTCAGCAATACGACATCATCAATCAAATTTAAAAAGATATAGTTGAGCCCCCCCCCCCCACACACACAAAAAAAAAGCCTACAACAAATCAGATTATGAATAATTTTCTTTCCATTTATTTTTATAATTGCATTATTTTTAAAATTTAATTGATGGATGGCAGTGGCAGCCGCCTTCCTTTTACGTTTCATGTCTTTACGCTTCTCACAAAGCCATAAGCCCTTAATCACTTAGATTCTGACTTAGATTAATTATTACAGAAGTCCACATTAACCACAAACATGATTCCAAATCTTGCAGTCATGGAAAAGGTTAGATTTTACTCCCTAGCTGCCATGGCATGTAAAACTTCCATTTTAGACAGAACAAACACAGGTGTCTATCTGACTCTTGTTTATAGATGATTTATAACTTCGCAGCAGTCCTGGATGAATTAAGAGTGTAGGAGGGGAGGAAAACAGAGAGAGAGAGAGAATCGGGTCAATATTTGAAATCACCTTTCAAGTGAGCTAAACATGCATCTGTTATGTCACTAAATCCCAAGTTTAATACTTTCACGTTTTCCAGTCCTGTAAAATAAATAAATAAATAAATAAAACATGTAATCTTACAAATGTGATGCCCTCAATAATTTTTTTTTTTTGGTGCCAAAAAATAAAACCCAATTGGCATATTATGAAATATATAAGTAAAGCATGAAAGAAGTCGTTATAAAATTCTTAACAACTTACGTGAAAACTTTTCACATCCATTGTCAGAAAGATTACATCTATTAAGATTCAAGTTCGACAGGGCTGGAAGCTCTGGAAGGAAGCATAACAACGTCAAATCAAAACTTGAATGGGTATTTCATCCTCATTAAGTCATCATATACTAGAAAGACATAATGAAATTACAGTTTGGACATTCAACAAAGAAAGTTCACTGATAATAATAAAACTAATTGCAGTTGGTTCAAAATAACATGCATGTTCAGTGTACACTCAGTCAAGCAGAAACACATAATATTAGAACCTTAAAGCTACTGAATAAAGCAAAAAGATGAATACTGTGTTGACATCATTTGGAACAAAATTCGGGTTCCTTTTGTAAACACATTGTAAAGAATGGTTTTTATATTATCTCTAGCACATCCACTCACGGTATTTGATGGGCTTTTGGGCCCTTGTTTATCAATGTAGGGGGCCAAAAATAGAGCCCAAGTGGAAGTTGAGACCAAGTGGAAGTTGAGAATAATAAGCTGATGGTGAAAGAGGATGGAGGAGGAAGGTTAGTTATTGGGGAAGCTACATGGCAATCTATGAATGGTGAGAGCATAGTGGGAAACTATGAAGCACCGATACGGCGTTTTCGATACGTTCTCGATGATACAGGATGTCGATTACCATACAATACGTGTCCGATACGTTGAAATTTTTTTTAAGGAGTATCGGTGCTTCATAGGTGGGAAAAACATGGAAGGAAGATTCGGGGAGGTTGTGATGATATAGGGTGGTTATGGTTATGAGAGAGGTTAGGCATAAATTCAGCATTTTGGTGAGTGGGGAATTGGAATCTCTTAAGAGCCTAGGTTTATTGGTTCTAACTTCTAAGGGTGAGCTTGAGGGTCATTTTTCTGGAGTTTTTAAGGCACTGGGAAGGGATATCTCAGTAGCTAGTTAATCAATTTAGTGTCATTGAGTCTGTAACTTCCTTCTTAATTTGAGTATAGTGTTTGTATTTCCTGTTGGGTTCCAATCAGGTAGTCAGAATAGGATATTTCCATATGGCCTTGCTGTATTTCCTCGAGACACTGATCTAAGGAAATGATTTATCTTGATTCGTTAGATGTTTTCTCTGTTCTGATATACCGGTACCATCAATATTATATCACGTCAAGCATTAACTCAACCCAAAAGTTTAAACTATTAGGTGACGACATATGCATGCTTTTTGTATTATCTCTAACATATTTCCTCATGCAAGAGCCCATTCGGTTTAAATGGTAGATAATGTACAGGCCCACCAACTCGTATTAAGAAATTCCACAATTAAATATTTTATTATTTTGAATAGCACAATTAAATATTTATTAGAAGAATAAGGCCGACAAAGATCGAAATCAGGACCAGTTGGCCACACTGGCTCTAATATCATGAAAAACTTAAATTATTAGGTGAAGGCTCATGAATAATTTTTATATTATATTTTTGATAGACATCAAGGTTTGGACCCCAATCGTAAGTTTAAATAAATTATAATAAACCATATGAATCTTTTATGATTGGAATCACGTTCCTCCACCCCATGCTTTTCTGTCTAAAGTTTCATTGTTAGTGGACTTTCTAGCTCAAATCACAATCGGCTGGAAGTGATACGCTGAAGGCATCCTAACAAACACAAAGTGTTTCAGCTTCAAGCTTAAAACATTCATCTAGTCCACAAAAAAAATTCCTTAACAGAATTCATTTCTTTCTAAAGTTTCAGTGGTAGTGGACTTTCCTAGCTCAAATCACAATCGGCTGGAAGTGATATGCTGAAAAGGCAGCCTAACAAACACAAAGTGTTTCAGCTTCAAGCTTAAAACATTCATCTAGTCCACACAAAAAATTCTTTTACAGAATTCATGGGCCAAAAAGGAAATAACCAAGATTACATCCTAACAACTAGTTAGTTCTAGTAAGCCTAAATATAATCACAACAAGATTAACAGAATAAAAGAAGAAATTCAACCTGCAAGAGAATCCAAGCATGCAGCTGTTACAAGGCACCCTTCCAAATTTAATAGGGCAAGCTTTTGTAATCCTGGATGGAATGAACCAATACAAATTGAAAATGGATGAGAGAGACGAACATGAAATGATGAAACTCGAAATTTCCTCTAAACTGGTAGGCTGAGATGCTTGAACATTGAACAAAATCAAATTTACGAGGATAAATGGCAAACAAAGAAATATATTTTCTAAGAATGAATTTTTAAAACCACGTCTACATCTAAAAAATTGAAGCAGACTTAAAATTGAATATCTAACTGAATTAAAACAAACAAAAATAACGAACTAATTCAATCTTAAAAATCAATCATCTAATCTTAAAAATGATTAGTTGATAATTGTATACAGTACTATACATTCCCGTAAAGCTTTTATTGATAATTTAGTTGAAGAAAATCTTGTTACACACAAACGTGGTTGCCAGCACAAACATCAATCATCCCTTGCATCTTCACACACACAGGAGACACGGATGAAAATACTTTGAAGAGGATGAAAATACTTTGAAGCAGATGAAAATGCTAGGTTAAGCCTATCTTTTTCAATTTCATTCTCCAAGAGAGAACAATATCATAAACAAGCATTATTGCACAGAAATATAAACCTTTCTGAACACAATCATGTAAGAGTACCAGGTATAAGATAATCATATTATCCCTATTGCTCTGGAACATCATAATAATACATGGCAAGGCACAATACCTTTCAAAAAACTGATGCCAAAATCGGTGACTTTACTGCAAGAAATCTCTAGACTTTTTAAGCTTGCCAGCTCTGGAAGAAAATTGAATTAAAAAATTGTACTGTTAATTATTGAACCATATGTCTATTAAGAAGACAACGATTACTTGTATAAACACAAAGGTGCACTGACAATTATATGGTTGTCAAACATAACTGTTGTAGGGTGTTCTTTTCTAGAGATATAAAACCATTCATGTATTTTCACTCAAGGTAATTGAACTTGGGTGGAATGTGTAGTTCCTTAGAAAGAGAATACCAATAATCTGAACAGGAACTACTACATAGTAGAAAACTGATAGGCCCAAGGAGCCCAAATCATCTAAACCCATTCTGTCTTATGCTCGCGATAAAAATAGAAGGAAAATGAATTGGGCTCCAATGAATGCTGTAGTAGGATCCAATGAATGTGATGAAATATAAGACTGAAATGTATTTTTCATATATTGATTGACACCCAAAGGGATCTTTATATACAGATTACAAGGTAGTTAAGGAGTTGAAGTAATAAAAAAAATACACAGTAACCGAAGAGGCATCACACTACTCAAAGGAACAAGTAGCTAGAAACAAGTAGAAAACTCTAGAATATTCTACACTCCCCCTCAAGTTGGGAGATATATATTGATCATCCCCAACTTGCTAATTAAATCCTCAAAGATGGGTTTGTGTAATCCTTTGGTGAGAATGTCGGCTGTTTGCTCCTTGGTAGGTATATATGACAAACATACACTACCCTCCTCCAATTTTTCTTTGATAAAATGACGATCAACCTCCACATGTTTGGTTCTGTCATGATGTACAGGATTTTGAGCAATACTGACTGCAGCCTTATTATCACAATAGAGTCTCACAGGTAGAGAATAAGATATCTTTAATTCTCCAAGGAGCCTTCTTAACCAGATTCCTTCACAAATGCCATGGGCTAGCGCCCGAAATTCTGCTTCTGCACTGCTTCTGCACTGCTTCTGGCAACAACAGTTTGTTTCTTACTTCTCCAGGTCACAAGATTTCCCCAGACATAGGTACAATATCCTGAAGTGGATCTTCGGTCCATAGCAGAGCCAGCCCAATCAGCATCTGTATAGATTTCTATCATCCTCTTGTGTCCCCTTTTAAAGAGCATTCCTCGACCAGGGGTGTTTTTGAGGTACTTGAGGATTCTATAAACAGCACTAAGGTGTTTTTCCTTAGGAGAATGCATGAATTGGCTAACCATGCTAACCGCAAATGCAATATCAGGCCGAGTGTGAGATAAGTAGATCAGCTTCCCTACCAACCTTTGGTATTGCTCCCTGTCAACATCTTTTCCATGAGGCAAGATATGGGAGAATGAAAATTCAGGACGCGAGAGGGCATCCGATTGATGAGATATGAGGCAGTCAAGACAGCCTCCCCCCACAGGTATTTAGGGACATGCATTGTAGACAAGAGGGCTCTAGCAACTTCAATGAGATGTCTATTTTTCCTTTCAGCCACCCCATTTTGTTGAGGGGTGTTAGGACAAGAACTTTGATGGATAATACCTTGCTTGGTTAGGTAATCACCAAGAACAGAATTAAAATATTCAGTACCGTTGTCAGTTCGCAGGATTTGGATAGAGGTCTGGAATTGAGTTTGTACCATAGCATGAAAATTTTTAAAAGTGGCAGCAGCTTCAGACTTATCTTTTAGAAGATATACCCAGCATACTCTAGAATGATCATCAATAAAGGTAATAAACCAACGAGTTCCAGATATATTTTTTTCACGAGCTGGGCCCCAAATATCACTATGAATCAATGTAAATGGAGACGAAACATGATAATCTCTAGGGAAATAAGAAACACGAGTGTTTTGCAAACTGACAATCATCACAAAAAAATGAACTTGGTTTTTTGTTGATAAATAAGTTTGGAAGCAGCTTTTGAAGATAAAAGAAATTTGGGTGTCCTAAACGACGATGCCACAACAAAACATCATTACAATCGTCTGATAAACATAAAGAGTGATTTGCAAAAAATCTCTTTTCATGAGAATCTTCTTCAAAATAGTAAAGCCCTTCTTCCTCTCTAGCACTGCCAATCATCAGCCCCGAATCCTGTTCTTGAAAAACACAGGTTTTGGCAGAGAATTTAGCAACACAATGCAATTCAGAGGAAAGTTTACTAATAGAGATAAGGTTACAAGTAAGAGAAGGGACATGAAGGACAGAATTCAGAGTAATATGTTCAGAGAGCTTAATGGATCTCTTTCCCGCAATATTAGAGAAACTACCATCAGCCGTCCTTATTCGTGACTGGTGATAATAAGGGGTATAAGAACAAAACAGGGATGCATTACCTGTCATATGATCAGAAGCTCCCGAATCAAGAATCCAACGACTACTATGATCAACATGGAATGCCATACCTTGTTGAGCAACATGACTAGTTGCCTTAGCAGATTGAGACATCACCTTCTGAAATTGCTCATAATTCTTACCGTTTAAACGGTGGTTAGTAATCTGTATAGCTGGGTTGTCTCCGGAAGACGAAGAACAGGGAAGAGGAAAGACACCGGAAACATTACCGGATGATTTTTCAGAATGCTTATTCTCAGCCTCAATATTTTCAATTTCCATTGTTCAAAATAAAAAAAAAAAAACAAAAAAAACAAAAAAAACAAAAAAGGAACACCAATCGTTCAGAACTGAAAAATCACGAGGAGGAACCAACTGGACCCAACAAGAAGAGTGCTCCAATCGTGATTTAAACCCCCAGAACAGGAAGAGGAAGGCCAGGCGAGCCGTTCTGTGAAAGCCGCGTGACAAACGGAGGCCGGCAGGGCGGCGCGTGGCTCACACGCGCCGGAGAGGCAGTTCTGCAGTGGCGGCGCGTGGCGGCGCGTGGATGACTTTCCGGCGACGGGGCTGACGTGGGTCGACTCGGAAATGGCTTCTGAGCCCAATGGTGGCCTTGGTTTCGTGATTGGAGGGGTCCAGATATGGTTTCTGAGTTATTTTAATAAACAGTGAAAAATGGAAAACGGAAGGAAACGTGAAGGTTTACAAGATGACCACAGGATAACCTGCTCTTGATACCATGATGAAATATAAGACTGAAATGTATTTTTCATATATTGATCGACACCCAAAGGGATCTTTATATACAGATTACAAGGTAGTTAAGGAGTTGAAGTAATAAAAAAAATACACAGTAACCGAAGAGGCATCACACTACTCAAAGGAACAAGTAGCTAGAAACAAGTAGAAAACTCTAGAATATTCTACAGAATGCTATAGCAGCTAAGGAGCGTGAGACTGAGGAGCGTGAGGCTGACACTTCTGTTGGAGAATGAATTGGTTACGTGAAGTTGTTATTTAGGTGCATGGTGGGATGGGTAGAGGCACCTTTGGAAGGTCTTGGAATTAGGCCAGGCTTGGAGATATTCAGGACGTCTCATATGTGCCCTGCTGTTAGAATTGTGTCTGTTATTACTTTTCTGTAATGCTTGTTTGCTGTATTTGTTATTTCTTGTGTAAAAGAGGTCATCCTTGATTTCTTTTCGTTGAGTTAAATACAAACAGTAGAGATATTTTCATTTCTAATTGTTTGATCCTATCAAAAACACACTGACTGCTTAAAAGAAAGACTAGACAACTAAGCTCTGGAAAAATTTTCAGCAACTGTGATCAAAAGAAAGAGAAGCACGACAAACCTGATAGAGGCTTTATATCAGAATCTGTTATGCAATTACACCACTTCAAATTGAGAGACTCCAACTTGATTAAACCTGAAAAATATGGACCAAATCATTGGGTTGAAGTTACATGAAAATCATTGTACAGTTGCACAAAAACTGAAACCGAATTCCTTCATCTTTTTATTATCCTTTTGTGTGAGTTCTTAGTTGCATAGACAATAGAGATTAAAGCTAATTAATTTTAGGGGTGGAATTCCTTATTCCATATATAAGGATTTTATGAGTGTATAAAGTATTCGGATCCATTTTGGTAGATATTTTCCCCTTTCATTTGAGTAAAAGATCTTTTGCCCGGTCATTTAACCAGAAAACCAGCCCCTTTCTGATGGTATTCTGATCCCATTTGCCCAATCCTTATTTTTTTAAATGCCTTGTTTATTTTGAAGTGTTGAACCCTGTATCACCAATAAATAATTGTAATTGGAAACCAACTAATACTAGGAAAAAGTGAAGTCAGCAATTGATTCCTTATTTTAGCTATCCAAAGTACTAGGCAAGTATGAAGGTTGAAGGTTGCTCAAAAAAGATTACTCCACTTGGGTTCTCTGTAAATACATTCCACTTCATGGACAGCTCAATGTCACTTGTAAGTTGAAACAACTAACAAGTGTGATATACAATAGTTAGAATATATAAAAAATTTCATATATATCTTAGAACAGTTTAGATTTATTAGCACCAAGGCGGAGTAATCCCTATAATTTCAACAGCAAGAATACATCACGGGATACATTAGCACCATTAAGAACAAAATAAGTTTAGCAGATAGAAAATACAAAAATCTTTTGAATGCTCTATCATAGTAAAGAACATTGGTTAGTAAAGTTTTACTTATCACACAAGATTACATTTAAGGACCAACCTTGAAGATGAACAAGGCCTCCATGAATCCCAGGACATCTCTCTAAATCCAACTTGACCAAGTTAACAAGACCAGAAAATGTACTCATCCCTTGAGCAGATATTGAATCATTTCTTCTAAAACTTAAACTTGTCAAGTTTGACAGACCTGGAATATTATATTACAGTTGTTGTAAAACTTCGGTAAAAGCAACTTATGGACAAAATTTCTGGACATAAGTAACATCACATGCATACCAGCACTGTATGGAAGACAACCAGATGAGGAAAATTTTATAACAAAAAAAGGCTAAGGCTGATAGCAGAGAGGTAAACATAAATAATATTATACAACATATTATACAGGAATGCAAAAAAACCACTTCAGCTTCACTATGCAGAATTCATATGTCGAATTTAATTAATTGGTGGGTGAGCATTGAAAACATTTCCATTCTTTGCAAGAAACCTCAATGATGGGAAAACAATCACGTCAACTGCACTACAAACATTTCCATTCTTTGCAAGAAACCTCAATGATGGGAAAACAATCACGTCAACTGCACTACGCAGAATTTCATTCTTCGAAATTAAGTCACATGGTATATTAAAATGCAGAAAATTACAGTGAAAATATAACAACATTAAATGTCATAGTTCACGCAGAAGATCCACATAAGATTTCCATATGCATATTTTTCAACATTAACTGAAAAGTAAATTAGAAATAGGTGGGCAAATAGGAAATAAATTTTTAGAAAAATAGAGAACTACATGAGGAATACTTGGTAAAAACCTTTCCAATCTGGGAAATTAACGACCCTAAGTGGTTGATGATATTCAAATATAATTGATGAGTAAACACTAGTTGATTTAAACAACCACTAGAACGGTCAATGTTCTTAAATCGAAAATCATTTACCGAGAATTCCTTTTTTGAATTTTTTCCAAGAAAAGACATTGTAGCTATCAGCATAAAAGAGACATTTTTACGAACTGGCAGCATGAGTATGCTAGACTAACATTTAATAAGTTATCCTGTAGAATGGAAAGTAACGCAGCATGTACACCCACTTCCACACCAATGAATGGACACAGTTTACCCATGGAATATTGGTAAGATATTTCTGTTCTTTGTTTTGTACAATGAATTGAAATATAAAATATATAACAAAGATTCCATGGGACCAACACCCAAGTGTAAATAGAGGAAATAAATTAATAACTGCAGATGCATAGACTGATTCCTTAACAAAGACGCAAATAAAGGGAAAGAAAGAATACCACTGATGCTCTCCAGTCCATGGTCCGAAATCTGGTCACAATGATTTAGATTTAAGGAAATAAGACTTTCACAATCTTTAAGGTAAGTCAGCCCAAAATCTGTGACATCAGACCCAGAAAGATCTACAGAGAGTAAAGATGAACCCTGTGACGAGATGACATCCATCCAGGTATCATTAACACCAGCATATTCTCCCAAGTAAAGATCCTGTCAAAAAAGCAATAAACACTCTAACCATTTAGATCAAGAACATATAATGAACCAGCTCAAGAATTTATTCAAAATGATTTACCTGGAGAGCACAATCTCGAAAAGCTTCAAGGGAAGCACCAGTTAGACGTTGGGAGTAAACCAATTTATTAATAATTTGCTGACTTATATCCCGCGGCAGCATAGAAAATGTGTTATATTTATCAATATCCTGTTGAGTAAAAATTGCAGTAATTAAATCAAAATATGAAGAGTCAGGACAGAGAAAACTTTTTGTTAGAATAATACCTCATTTATTTTCTGGATGCACAAGTCCAACAGTGATGGACATTCCCCTTTTCGCAAATGAAAATCTACAGATGGATAAGAAAACGAGGATGTCCACCATTTCGAACTCCCACATTTGCAGCATCTTAGTGAAAGTCCTCTACCATGATTATCTTCATTATCCCGCTCTTGCTTCCTAGAACACGCTCCCCCCATCCAGGAAATATTCTCTTAATCAATATATATCATAAAAATCGCAGCAGAACACTAGTGTTATCCATTCAATAACCAAAAATGAACATATGCAACCAACTTCACCCTGTAAAAAAAATAAAACGGAAGAGTACAGCTGAATAAGTTTTCAGCATACTTGATCATTCAGGAATTGACTTCTCTTAAAACCATTAAGAGTTCTATTTACAACATCAACCTCATTCCACAAATAGCCAAAGATCAAAACCGGGGAATCAATTCGAAAAAAATATCAGCCACCACACCATAATCAGCACTTACCATATGCGTCTTAAGCAAGACTCCACAGCATATCTCTAGTAACATGTATACAGTGCATCAACTTGGAAAAGGTAGAAAACAACTCACTACGCGCCAAAAAATCACATCCATATGCCAAAATCAAATAAAAAAACGGATTCATCCTCATAAGAATACACGAGTTCAAAACACTGCAGCTAAAAATTACAGTTAAATAACTAAGTAAAATAAAATTAAAAAACAAAAAAGAAACAGCGCCATATCTACAAGAGATGATCGAACCGCAGAGACTCCAAAATCCAGAGATTTTCAGATAAAAATGAACATAGAAACGAAAGACGATTCTCGAAGCCGGAGTTCAGAACACTACAGCTAGCAATTACAGTTAAATAACTAAGTAAAATCAAAAATTAAAAAACAAAAAAGAAACAGCGCCATATTTAAGAGTTAAAAGCGATGATCAAACAGCAGAGACTCCAAAATCAACAGATTTTCTCCAAACAAGATTTTCAGAAGAAGAAAAAATGAAAATAGAAACGGAAGACGATTATCGAAGCTGTGAAACGAAGGTTGAGAAAGAAGATAACAGGTAGAGTTTGTAGCAGAAAACGTACCCTGACATGATCGATGAAGCAGTGAAGCAATCAGAGAAGAGAGTCACTTTCTTCTTGCAGATGAAGGTGAAAACGTGGGAGTGAGTGCAAGAAAAGAGAGTGGTTGCGTTGGTTGCGGAGAAAAACTGAGAACGCGATGTGGCTCGTAAGCCGAGCCTCGATCCGAACCTACTAGCAGAAGAAACGTGGCGAATATTGTTGGTTTGGATAAGAAGGAAAGGAAAGGAATCAAGGAAAGAGAGAAAGAGGAAGAGGCGGGATTCTCTTGACTTTATCCATTTGGAGCAACACGTGGGACCCACTCTGTTACCTTTGGAAATATGTGCACGCAATGATGCAATCTTTGCTACATTAATTAACATTTAACAATCATGACATCACTTGAATCTTATTATATCATAATTTCGACTTCCACCCTACTAAAGCAAATATATCCTTTTACGCTATTGCCCGAGTAAATCCAGTAAATTTTAAAAATGAAAAAAAATTAATTCATCATAGTAAAGTTGAGCTTATTACAATTTCTAGTGCAAATCAACTTTGTTTTTTTAAAAGGTAACTTGAACCTAAGAGTGATTAAAATTATGTAATATATAATGAAAAGTTGAGCATGTACTGTTTAGTAACTCGAGTAGTTACTCCAATCGTTCAAAAGAATAATGAAAATGGTTGTTCTGCGTAAATGTAAAATAAATTTCATTTTACACATTATTGAGGATATTTTAACTACTAAAAATTCTCATTATTAATTTACTATTCATCACATCACTATTAGATTAAACAAAGAGAATGTTAAAAAAAATTTAAAAAGAGAGAAAATATTAATCTAATGATAATTAAATAAGTAATAAATTAGTAGTAAAAAATTTTAGTAGTGAGAATATCTCTCCTCTTTACACATATCTTATGCTCTTTTTTTCTTACCATTTGATAATTAAGCGATTAGGTCAACTTCTGTGTAAAACTATGTTTTTTATTTTTTTTGGTAAAAAAACCTATATTTATTTACCCCTATGAGAGTTTAATATAGGATTTTATTAATCTCATGTTAAATAAGATAAGTTATCTTATGTCATAAAAGACAAACTTGTGAGCTCTATCATCTGAAAAAATCCAAAAAATAAAAGAAAAAAATAACAAAGTTATCGAAGAGTGTACAGGAAAAAAAAACTTATTTCCTGTAAGTGAAAATAGTTTTTCCTTTTAATATATACATCTTTCAAGAAAATTGTCAAGTCTCGGCAAAAGAATTGCAAACGCCAAATTTAACGGCAGAAATTACAGTACACATTCTAACAAACTAAACTCTTCTCTACGAATTCTAACAATATCACACTTGATCTCCATGCTTATAATTGAGAAAGAAGCATGAATTATTAGATAATCAAGAGTGAAGTTCATAATATCATATTAGATTTTCAGCCCTGAATGGATGGCAACCACTCCCCCAACTAGATTCTCATACTCTACGTTCTGGAACCCTGCATCCGCAATCATCGATGCAAATTTTTCCTGTAATCCATCAATTACAATAGATTAGTCAACATAGAATAATATAACTCAAGTAGATAACTCAGACGCAGGCTTCCTTGACATTTGAATTCTCATCAGAGAAGTTTCTGCTCAATACTTATGATGCCAGGCAAACAAGCATACATAAATTTTCCAAAATTTAAAGATAAAACTCCACAAAGTAGAGAACAGACGACATTTTTGAGAAAAAAAGCCAATAATTTAGTGGCTAGATTTTTCATATTTAATGTGTTTCTTGGCTTCGTAATTGACAGGATAAAGGGTGCATTTAGTAAAAAAGTCAGACCACACTTGTTCTCATGCTATATGCAGCAAATATGAGATCCCAATTTTTACGCAATCAATTATAGCTTTTAGTAAAATAATAAGATAATAGCTACTCCTACTAAATGTCCACCCAAGCATCCTTCTTCATAAGGGTGAACGCAGGAGAGATTAGTAACATGTTAATAGGCAAAGCCTTTATTTTTTTGCTACTTTTGGGTTTCAATTAAATCATAATTAACATTGGAGATGGCCACCATCAACCGTTTGGTCTAGGACTCATCTTCCACACTCAAAACTTAGTTCATATTTTTCACTAACATACTTGAAGGGGTGACAATAAACTGTAACCAGCCATCTTGAGAAACACCTATAGGGTCGTTCCCAAATTCAAGCGCCAACCCTTTTCTTTCAAGCCAAAAAGAAATAAAAATATAGACAACTACCAATAGATGGAAGTATGATAACCTGTGAAGGGAAACGCCTGATACTCTCAACTAAGTACTGATAGGATTCCCTATCACCAGCAACCAGCTCTCCCATGTATGGAATAACTGAGAAAGAATAATAGTCATACCTGCAAGAGAAAAGCAAAATTAAATTAAAGGTTAAATTCAAGTATGAAAGGAGGCTATGATTCCATGGCAGTGTGCAGTTTACGTAGTTCTCGTTCAAGGGTATCTCGTTGCCCTAGCATTTGTCATGAGGTAGGATTGTGTATATAGCTTCTCTCTCATGCTCTGCCCATGGCTATTTCAAATGAGCTTTTATTACTGACATGCAAAGGTTGCATTTTTTAGCCATTTTGGCTCACTCATTTCCCCCCTCTTTTTAAGAATATTTCTTATCCTCCCCCTAGATATCCATTATCTTGTTTCTTTCTATCAATATATTATTCTTATCCAAAATTTTAAGTATGAAAATAAAAAGAGGAAATGAGAAATTTCTATGCAAACTTGGATTATGTTATATGCAAAGGGTATACAAATTAAAGGGTCAGATGTTTATTACTTCACTCTGGTTTCTTCGTATTTTCCTTGTCAAATGTGATTAGCATGCATATTATCAGTCTCTATCATTCTAGCAAAATAGATCGAATGGTACTTACAAGTCTTTAAATATAGGAATACCAACATGGCTTAGTTCAAGGCAAAGGAACCTGCCTCCTTGTTTCAATACCCTGTTAAAGAAATGATAAATATAACAGTGATTCACTACACATATTAATTGATTGCCATCAGCTGCTAGGGCGTACAAGTTACAACAATCTCTTAAAAAAGTGCAAACATACCTATGAGCTTCACTAAGAACCTTCTCTATGTGTGTAACATTCCTTATCCCAAAAGCAATAGTGTAACCATCCATTGAATCATTTTGGAAACTCAAGCTTTCAGCATTTCCCTCCACCCATATAAGGGAGCCATCTTCTCCAAAACCTATTATAATAAGCAGAATATATTCACTCCTAACAAATGCAAAACGTCTTAAACCAAAATCCTTTATGAAAGCCCAAACTAACTGATGATTTTTAAGGCATTCTCATTTACCCTTCTCCATGGCCCGCTGTTTGCCGACATTTAACATGTTAGGGTTAATGTCACACACATATATCTGAGTTTCTGCCTCTAAAGTATCTTCAAAAACATCTCGAAGTCCTCTCTGCTTAACTCTGTTTATGTTCTCCAAGATTCTAAAAGCAACATCCCCTGTAAAATCAAGAATTTTAAGCTTGATACAATAACCATTGAACTTATTAATGATTGTATGCAGTAGCAACAGCAGCATCATCACTTTAATTTTCTCCATATTAACACGAAATATTACTGAGAAGAAGCAATCTTTATGTTAAATAAAAATACATCCTACAACTATATTACTTAAAAGAAACTTAAATATATATGAAGCATAGAAAGCTTACTTTTGAACAAGTTAAATTACCACCCTATGATCATGATGATGCTTAAATATTGCTCAAATCATGTTCACCTTATGACTTCGATCACCCAGAAACATTGCTGAACATAACCCAGCAATTAAATCCTAAAAAAACAACTGCTGCTTGTGCTCTTAGTACTCAGATATGCAACAACAAGAATATTAGACACTGACCATTAGGTGTTCGAAAGTGGAATGGTTTGCTCCAAATTAAAAGTTTTAAGAAAAATATAAGCAGAAAACAGCTAGATGAATCAGAAAACTTGAAGCAGGTCGACAACTTGCTCGGTAAACATCTCCTTTTATCCAATTCACAATTTCCTAACTTCTTTCAAGCACTTCACAGATTTTTGTTTCCAGTCTTGGCACAACAATTGGTGTTGTTGCCACGTGACCTGGAGGTCAAAAGTTCAATTAATGTAATCAGCCTCTTACAAATGCAAGTTAAGACTACTATAGAACCACATAATGGGTTTCACCCTTCACTTGAAGCTGAAGCTGGAGCTGGAGCTGGAGCTTTATAGGGGCAAGTTATACTTTTTTTCATGAATATACTTTACATTGTAATCTCTTGAAGCTTAGCGCACAGTATAAGATAAGGACTGATAGTATAAGACCTGATTAAATTTTAATACTATCCAGCATTTGGTATGGTATTGTATAAGATAATATTCTCCAATATTTTAAAAATTAATATATTAAAAAAATTTATTTTAATATATTAATATTGAAATGATATATTAATTCTTGAGAATTGTACTTGTAAGCAATATTAATACATCAACCCCTTATCAATTATCATGCCTAATCCCACCCCCTTATGCCTGATTAAGTTATACACCATTTTGATGTTCTGCTGTATAAGTTTATACTATACGATAGTCATACTAAATAACTGAAAATGTCATAACGTATAATATAAGCTTAAACCTTATACTATCAAGCTTTATACATAACACCAAACAGGCCCTTGTACACATAAACATAGTATAAAATATAGTGACAAAGAAGCAGACCTGTGCCACCAGCCACATCAAGATGCTTCATTCCAGGAAAAGGATTCAGCTTTGAAACTAACCTGAGAAGTTGAGCAAAAATAAAATAAAAAACAGATTTACACAAAGGCCAACAACAATAGGATTGAAATGAAGAAAATGATGGTAGAAACGACAATGTAAATGTAAAACCTATCCTTCCACAATCTATGTAATCCAGCACTCATTAGATCATTCATAGTATCGTAGTTTGCAGCAACACTCGTGAAAACGTTACCAACCATGCGAGCCTTTTCATCTTCATTTACTTGTTTGAATCCTGAACGTTGAAATGCGACATAAAAGTATTCATCAATAAATCAAAGCGATTTGGTGAAACTCAACAAGCTAATTACAATTTTTTTGCCATTTAAATATAAATTGAAATTTAAATGCAGAGAGGGGAAAGTGTAAACGAACCAAAGCTTGTAGCATGAGAATGTAGGAGCCTTGAAGTGGAAGATAACATGGGCGAGAGTTTATTCCCAAACCTTCTAGTCACAGTTCTCAAAGCCATGACGAGAAAAAAAAAAAAAAAAAACTCGAATAGAATCACAATCAGAATCAGAAATATTGCTTAATCGCTTAATTGCATAAACGAAGTTGTGGTGACTTTTAGGTTTGAATGGTTTGGCATAGAAGTATAGATCGAAGTTCAAAGAGCAGCGAAAAAACAGAGAGATCAGAACACGTGAGGCAGAAGCAGTGAAACGAAGACAACCGCCTCAGGTTCACGTTGGACTTGGACCATTTCCTTCAATGGGTCATGATGCTGAACGATGGACCCGGCCCACCCATCCCAGCCAAGCCCAGCCCATTAAGTACTAGCCCAAACTTGGTCGTCACTTCTTCATCTATAAATGTTTTGTATACGTGATTAAGGTAAAATCGAATTTTTACTTAAAAATGGAAGGTGAATAAAAAAATTATAAAATATAAAATCATAATAAAGTAAAATCATAAAAAGTTATAAAAACGCTTGAAATATTAATAAAAATATTTTGATAAAAAAAAATCATAAAAACATAAAAATACTGTTAAATACCATGATATGTGATGTGGGGTGTTTACAATTTTGGAAAATACATAGTGCTAGTTCATACGGAGTAGACTTTTAGGGACGCTATAACTAAATTCCTTCATTATATATAGAAAAGTGGTATTTCATTGGAAGTTACTTTTTGAAACCTGCGGCATATTTTAATTTGGTGTTAATTTATTTTAATATTGTTATTATATAATAAATAGTGATTATTTGAATATTTTTTAAAAATTATATAAATCATCAAAATTACAATAAAAAAATCATTTTTTACTGAAAAATTAAAATGAAAAATTGATTAATACAGTTCAAGAGCTGTATAATAGAGAAGCAGATTTCTCATTCAGATTATGAAGTCACTCCACGTGTCAGCTCATCACATTCAGCTTCCTTAGTATATGTGCGTCCTACTAATCACAACAGAACTGAAACTAATTCTGTTAGAGTAGATCTAGTTAGTTAGTTTTTACTCTTTTCAGTTATATTTAACTTAGCTGATGTTATATATGTATATTCTACTCACCTATATATATTGCTAGGTGTTGTATAGTTTCATAACTTGAATATACCATTTTTCAGTTTTCTTATCAGAATGTGCAAGCTTTTGCTTTATGTTATGGTATTAGAGCTTTGAGCTCTGGTACTTTGCCTTCCATTTCGTTCCTTTTCTGATATCTTCGATCTGTAACAATGGCAGATCCTGTTCTTCCACTTTTGGACTTTCACACTAATCTTTCGAATCCTCTTTTCTTGCATTCGAATGAAAATCCTTCATTAATCCTTGTATCACCTCCTTTAACTGGTAACAATTACCATACTTGGGCTCGTTCAATGAGTGTATCACTGCTTTCAAAGAACAAAGTTGGTTTCATCGATGGATCGATAGTAGCTCCTGCACCTGATGGTCCAACTTATGCTCAGTGGCAAAGGTGCAACACTATGGTCATGTCATGGATTCACAGATTTATTTCAGAATCCATTGCCAAATCTATCTTGTGGATCGAGTGTGCTCGCGATGCTTGGTTGGATTTGCGAGATCGCTTTGCTCAATCTGATGTATTCCGCATCTCAGATCTTCAGGAAGAAATTTACAAGATCCATCAAGGAAATAGAACTGTAACTGAATTTTTTACTCAGCTCAAGATTATGTGAGATGAGCTGGAGAACCTTAAACCACTTCCAACTTGTGAATGCGTTCCTCCTTGTGCTTGTGGAGCAATGGAGAAAATGAGAGCATACCGTGACAAAGACCAGATGATTCGCTTCCTGAAAGGACTCAATGATCAGTACGCTTCAGTTAGATCTCAGATAATGTTAGTGGATCCAATTCCAAATGTAAACTGAGCCTTCTCCATGGTGGTGCAGCAGGAAAAGCAATTCGGAACTGATGTCAGTAATGGTATTTTAGCTAATCCACAGTCATTTGTTGGTTTTAATAATAATGCAAGCTATGATTCACAATCATTTGCTGGTTATAATAATAACACAAGTTATGGAAGAGGTCGTGGAGGTCCTAGTCAATCCTATGGAAGATATGGCAGAGGTCGTGCAAGAACTTATGGTGGAAGAACTTCTGGAAATAGACTCTGTACTCACTGTGGTAGGACAAACCACACAATAGAGACCTGCTATCAGCTTCATGGATATCCACCAGGCTTCCGATCAAGAAACACAGAGACTCAACATGCCAGTAACAATGTGATTAATGCTGATTCTGATGAAAATCTACCTTACAACCATATTGTTTCGTCTCACTTCACTCAAGAACAGTGCCACCAGCTTTTATCCCTCCTCCAAACCCAGACTCCGAACAATGAGACACAATCCACACATACTGCAAATATTTCACATGTCTCTCACTCTAGCACAAATCCTCCTCCAGGTATTTTACATAGTCAGTGGATCATTGACACTAGGGCCACTGATCATATATGTCATATAGTTTCTGATTTTTCATGCCTTCGAAAAATTACTCATATAGCTATCATGTTACCTGATGGATCTCAAGTCATTTCATCCTATTCAGGTTCAATAGTTTTATCATCTATGTTGACTTTATTAGACGTACTCTTTGTGCCTGAGTTTCGTGTAAATCTAGTGTCTGTTACCAAGTTAGTCAGTTCCTTTAATTGCTGCCTAACGTTTACTGGTTCCCTTTGTCTCATTAAACAGATTCCCTCCAAGTGACGATTGGTACTGCTGAACAATGGAATGGGTTATACGTGATAGTTCATAATAAAGGAGCATTTCAAGACTGTGTACCACCCGGTTGTGCATTGGCCAAAATGTCCAATAACTGTCATTCAAATAAGTTGTCCACCACCTCAAGAAGCCCATCAATATGGTGGCACAGGCGGTTGGGCCATGTATCAGATATCATTTTACATTCCATGTCTAGACGTTTTCCTTTTATTCAACCAAATGTTGTAGATCCTTGTGATGCATGCCATTTGGCTAAACAGAAATTGCTACCATTTCCTATTAGTCAAAGTAAAAGTGCTAAGGTGTTTGACATTTTGCATACTGATATTTGGGGGCTCTTTGCCACAAAGTCTATCCATGGTCATAGTTATTTTTTAACACTTGTTGATGACTTTTCACGGTTTACATGGATCATATTAATGAAACATAAAGGGGAAACCAGAGATCACATGAAGCACTTTTTCAATTATGTTGAAAATCAATTTGATACCCGAATTAAGATACTGCGTAGTGACAATGGTTGTGAGTTTTCCATGAAGGAATTTTATCTACAAAAAGGGGTAGTTCATCACACAAGCTGTGTTTAGACACCACAGCAAAATGCAATTGTTGAAAGAAAGCACCAGCATCTCCTTAATGTAGCATGTGCCTTAACCTTTCAGGCTTCCCTACCCCTACGTTTGTGGTCTCATGCTGTAACCCATGCAGTCTATGTTATCAACCGCACCAGTTCACCTGTAATCCATAACAAGACTCCTTACGAGTTGCTGTATAAACGACCACCCGTGCTTGAACATCTTAGAGTCTTTGGCAGTTTGTGCTATGCATCTACACTGCATTCTGGATGTACGAAATTTTCCCCTAGAGCTCGAAAGGCTGCATTCCTTGGATACCGTGATGGAACTAAGGGGCGGTTTGTTACGCGGAATTTTGAGGGATTCCGGGGAAACTGAATTTTTTTAAATTTTAAATTTTCAGATATTATCGTAAACTGAATGCAAAAATTATATTTTTGAAAATCGAGATTCCCGGACAAATAAAAATTTCTCCTGTACCAAACGCCCCCTGAAGGTTTCCTATTATATGACCTTACCTCTCACACTTTATTTGTCTCTCGACATGTAGTCTTTTATGAAGATTATATTCCTTTTAAAAATCAACATACACAAGCTACCTACCCGTACACTATTCCATCTGACCTACAAACCTTTCCTGACTTTGACTCCTATCATACCTGCCCAACGTCTACTGACCATACCATACCCAATACTGAACCTACCATACCAAACACTGCACCTACACTGCCCACCCGTACCACACCTACTGAACCTTTATCTCCCTCTTTTACTGATGTTGACCCTCCTCACACTATTTCTGCCAGCGGTCCCTCTGATACCCTTGCTCCATTACCTGCTACCTCTGAGATCACTCCTCCTAGACGCTCTATCCGTCTTCGAACTGCTCCTAGCTATCTTATGGATTATCATTATGGCCTATCTGTTGCACATCAAGATCAGTCTTCCACAGGTATCCCCTTTTCTTCTCACAATACTGCCTCTTATCCTTTATCCAATGTTTTAACTACCTCTCATCCTTTATCCGTTGTTTTAACCTATGATTCATGTTGTCCTTCATATAAGAATTTCTGTCTTAATTCCATTGTTCACATTGAACCTCACACTTACTCTCAAGCTGTTAAGCATGTTCACTGGCGTAAGGCAATGGACAGTGAGCTTTCTGCTCTGTCTAGCAATGATACCTGGTCCTTGGTTCGTCTTCCAGATGGCAAGCAACCTATTGGGTCCAAATGGGCCTTCAAAATCAAGTATCTCTCCGACGGAACCATAGAGCGTTACAAAGCTCGATTGGTTGTCAAAGGCTTCAACCAAATCGAGGGAGTTGATCACTTTAATACATTTTCCCCAGTTGCAAAGATGACTTCTGTACGTACTCTACTTGTTGTTGCTACCTTAAAGCATTGGCACCTTGAGCAACTCGACGTAAACAACGCCTTCTTGCATGGTGATCTCAACGAAGATGTTTACATGGTTCCCCCTCAAGGCCTCTCAGTTTCTGATTCCACTCTTGTTTGCAAGTTAAAGAAGTCTTTGTATGGGCTTAAGCAAGCCAGTCGCCAGTGGTATGCTAAACTCTCTTCGGCCCTTCTCTCCATTGGTTACAAACAAGCCCAGGCTGATCACTCGATGTTCACATATGCCACTGCTGATTCCTTCACGGTGCTCTTAGTTTACGTGGATGATGTGATCCTTTCTGGGAACAGTATGTCTGAGATTGAACGTGTCAAAGACTACCTTGATCGTCAGTTCCGGATTAAGGATCTTGGTAGTCTTCGATTCTTCCTTGGCCTCGAGGTGGCTCGTTCCACAACTAGTATTTCCCTTAACCAGCGAAAGTATGCTCTCGAATTACTCTC